TTAAGTTAGGATATCAAGTGGTCACCAACTTTCTCACCAACTTTACATGTAAGAAGCCAGCAAAAAAAGATTGAAAATAGCAATTGGGTAACTGCAGACAGGGATCCAATATAAGTATGAGAACTGGTAATACCACTTTTTCAGCACTTCATAAATTCAAATGGTTGCTGAATGCATGATAGTTAAATAAGAACTTCCTGAATATCTCTTAAGACAGTATGGAAAAGGGAAATGGAATTAGAGTTCAGAAGATGTGAGTCATGAAATTATAATTTTCCTATTGTACGAAGTCAGCACTCCCCCCCTCCAGAGAAGGAAATATTTTGGGGGGTATTAAAAGGGGCAGAATATTATATTTCCCCAAAGGAATAATAGAAAAATCTTAGGCAGAAACCAGCCTCCAGTCTCCTTCCCCCAGGCAGAGACCAGCTTTTAGAAATGTAGATTTGGGGCCACCTATTCATAAGCAAAATGCCTTCATCCATACCCCAGAGAAGGTTTGAGTGGATGGAATTAGAAAAACAAAGACTCCCAAGAACAGGAACATGACCCTTAGGACACAATAAGATTAACCCACCACCATTAGAATACCAAAAGGGCACACTCAAGCTCAGGTCAAAGTAAATGGCACAGGAACAGGAAGAACCTCAAATATAAAGCCCCAAAAAGGTATAAAAGCCCATCTATGATAACTCCATTTTGTCAGTTGTCCCAGAACCATATGCTGTTGGTTCTGTTCTTCAATAAACAGAACCTTCCTTCCAAAGAGCCTCCATTTTATTTATTCCCTGCTTGGACTGGACCTGAAGATTTTTCTTTCAACACTATTATATGGAAATTATTGTGTTAGGTCTTTTCCCACATCTGTAAATTCAGATGAAACAGTTCAAGGCAACCTATTTAAAATTAAAATAATTGCTGTAGCCTAACTGTAGGAGATAAGAAGATAAGAAAAGTGCTTTACTGCTAAAGCCAAATAACAAATGTCAGAGAAAGAAAAATGAGATCCATTAACCCAGCATTTTTTAAACTTCTTGTTTCCAGACTCCTTCCCATTTTTAAAAATTATATTTTTTTGTGCCCAAAGAATTATTACCTCCAAAAATATTTTGTTTGCATGGGTTATATTTATCAATGTTTACCATATTAAAATTAATGCATTTATTGAATCATGTAAAATGACAATATGAAATTCATTAAATATTAACAAAATAATTTAAAAACAGTGACATTTAGTATTTTTACAAATATCTCTAATATCTGGCAAATAACTTTGATTTCATGGATCTTCGGACCATACTTTAATAAACACAGCTTTAACTCATTCCTGTTCAGTTGGGTTGAATAGGAACATTCTTTTAAGGAGTTAGGGATAAACTACTGAATTGCAGTTCCCATTTTTGTTTTCCTTGTTTACTGCATATTTTAGAACATGATGCTACTTGTAGTCGTAGTAGTTAATATTCTGGCATAGTTTGGGTGTGTGCACAACGAACAAGTTTAGTATGAATTTCAAGTTAGAAATACATGTTGAAGTCATTTTACTTAAATTCAGTGCTTCACTGTTGTAATACTGGTCTTTATCAGAGAATCTATTAATCAGCAGAATTGCCTCAGATTCTGATTATGCCTTTGCAAACATTTAAGTATTATAACATTATGCTCCTAAGTTAAATATATATTCTTGATAATGTCTAAATGTCAGTAAAATATGAACAAATTTAAAAAAAAAATAACATTGCTTGACAAACTAATCTCCTCTAGAATAAAAATTAAGAACTTAAAAACTTGCCAGATTGGTGTTTAATGAATAGAATCATACATAATTATGCAAAACTATACTGTATTTATAATCGGACAAATATCTGTATACACACAAAAGACAAGTAGCTGGATCATCAGATCATATTCAGTTCTACACAACTTAACATTAAGACTGAAGATGACTTTATACATTGAAGAAATGGAAAAACAATACACAACATTAAATTCAAAAAGATCATATGTTAAGTTACAGTTCAAAGATTTATTGCTCAAGCGTATAGACAAGAATCAAGACAACTAAGGTTCAATACTAACTAGCCGCCAAATAAGGTACAACAAAATTCAAGAAGGAATGGACTTGGACTGTTTGTGGGAATGCAATGAATCTAAGCTGATGACGCACTTAACTCAGCTCCCCGGCTTGCTTGATCTTCTCCTACATAAATTGCTGCAAGTGGACAAGTTGCACACTCCAAATGAAAACAACCATATATTAGGCAGTTAGTATGGCTATTAGAGCATAATTCCAAAATACAAATTACCATATTAGGTAGCAGAAAAGCCAAACAGAAAACTCTTAATTTACTAGTACTTCCTTTTATTAGGGAAAACTTCATTGCCTTCTCAAATTTCATGAAAAAATAATTTCAGTCTAGTTTCTTAGACTGAAGAAAGAAATCTTCCCCTAAAAATAGATACAGGAAACTTTAGAAACATGGATGGAAACTTTCTAGTCAGTGGGAGTACAGGAAGATTAGGAAATTCTCAAAAATAAAGTACTGGAAGTTTGATGACATGCAAGTATAGTGAAAAAAGTAATGGATAAGTTAAGAAATCATTTTGCAGCTTGCAAAGGTTTTGATTCAGGTAATAGTAACAAGGAATATATATATGGAAGATAAATGTAATCACTAGAAGTGTTGCAGCAAGTACCTAATATCTATGACAGAAAATTAACCCCAAAATTAAAGAAACTTACCAGGGAAACTCCATCCAGCCACCTCATTCTCTGTCATCCCCTTCTTCTATTACCCTCAATCTTTCCCAGCATTAGGCCCTTCTCCAGTGAGTCCTTCCTTCTCATTAGGTGGCCAAAGTAATTGAGTTTCAACTTCAGGATCTGGCCTTCTAAAGAGAAATCAGGGTTGATCTCCTCTAGGACTGACTGGTTTGATCACCTTGCAGTCCAGGGGATATTTGATGAAGTTTCACATGAAATTGTTAGATGGCAAAATATAGGTTGAAGTATTGACATAAATATCAATGTACCCAATGAGATTATGTTAGTGACTCAGAATCTAATTAGAAAAAAGTATCAAGGGCCCTACTAAAAGTAGGCTATTCAACATTTATACTGGAAAAATGAGTAAAAACCAGCACGGTAAATGTCAATAGGGATTAATGCAAAACCTGATTGTTAGCTAAGACAAGATGTGAGTATAGAACAATGGGGATTACCACTATTTTAGGAAGCAGCATTGCAAAAGGGATTTAGGCATTTTAATGGATTACAAGGTGAACATGATCTAGTTTACCCAAAAATAAATAAATAAAAACCTAGGCCATATAAACAGTAATATGATACAAAATCAAGAAAGATCATTCCTCTCTGTTGTGTGTTGGTCAGATCACCCTTAAAATATTGCATCCAGTTCAGGGCATTTGGCAGAATGGAACATGTTCAGAGGAGCTAAGCAACAGAGGGCTTGAAAGACAAAGCATAGGAACAGCTGGAGATATTGGGTACCTTTAGACTGGAGAATACATGAGGAGACATATTTGTTTTCAAACATCTATCATCTACCATTTGACCTGGAGATTTGAATGGCGCCTGCTCTGCCTTTAAGATTCAGGAAAGCTGTTAATAAGTTTTCAGCTTGAAGGGATTGTTGTTTGGGCTGGTGCGAAGGGATGGGTTGATGTCTTCATTAGTATTCATCAGTTGTATTTTTTCTTATGAATACTTTGATGCTGCAAATTGCCAAATTGTATCTTTTCAGAGTATGGACACCAAAAGGAATTAAGTAAATTTATATGCAACTAAATTTTATTGAGGGTACAACTTGTTTAATATTGAATAGTGCCTAAGATCTGGATCTTTCTGTGTATCCTTGGAGCACAGTACATTTCCAAATTGAGAAAAAAGAATGTACTTGGTTAAAACAATACTGTACATAAGGCCCTCAACCCTTTTTCTTTCTCGGTATTTTCCCCACACGTACATGCACACACAAACTAGGCACCGCCACAAACTGAGCACCAAAGTAAACACGACAGAGAGTGTCTCAGTGTATTGCCGGAAGGGAAACTATTTTTTTCTGACGCAGGAATCCATTTAAATATTTTTCAGGAAAGGCTGAAATCATAATTTTGTAGCTCTATCCTTTTAATGCAATGTTCTGCTATTCTTACTTCATCTTTACAAAGAAAAATACCGGCACAACAATAGGCTACTAAAGAGAGCTCGCCTTCCCTCAGTGCCGAGATGCCAATAATAAAACGCCAGGTTCCGAAAGAAAAAGAGCAGAAAAGTGAGGACGCATGCGCAAGCAACTGGTTCAGGGGAAGCCCTTGCAGGAGGTGCGTCGCAAATAGGGGTCTTTCAATGTGCACGCGCATGCTCGGGCATAGATCTAGAGCAGGCGTGAGAATGAAAGGATGATTTAGAAAAGGGGACGGGCCTCAATTTTACGCAAGCGCAGGAAGAGCGCTGGGGGCTCTTTGGGTGGCGAGTCGCTCTAAAGAAACGACGCCAGTAAATTGAGCTTGGCTGAGCGAGTGGGGTAGGCGCGCGCGCGCCGAAAAGAGAAGATAAAGGCGGGTTCTCCGTGGGGTGAGTGGCGCCTCTGGCGTGTGGCTGGCTAACGGTGGCCAGAAGTGGACGCAACTTCCACAGGACAGGGTGGCCATCGGTGCCTTGTGGAGGAGAGCCAGCAAAACAGCGCTTTGATTCCGTTCTCGCTGTTCTTCGACTCAGCTTTCTTGCCTCGTCCGGGGATTCGCAGGGAGCATGAAAGTTCCGCCTTCGCCGCAGCCCCAAAACAACGGCTCTAGCCGCTTCCTATTTCCTCTGGCCAGGGGGAACGGCCGCTATTGCTCACTGCGGTGAGAAGTGGTGAGGTGGCCGGCGGCGCCTGAAGCCGGGGAGGCACAGGCTCTATCTGCGGCGTTATTTGCCCGGCCGTGAGGGCAGCGCTCCTAGCCTTTCATCTGCTGAAGTGCCTCACGGTTCCTGCTGTTGAGCCCCTCCTGAAGGGATTCTGCGAAAACGGGACCGAGAAGACATCGCCACCCTGACTTACTCCTCCAACTAAACCTTTTATAGCTGTAGAGTACTTTTTTCCCCCAGAGCTTGCATTGCAATCCCTGTATATTTTTTTGGAATTTGTATGCTTCGGCATATGATGACTTAATGTTTTATTCCTCAGAGTCTGGTGTTTTACAGTTTATATTTCATCGTTTGTGAAGGAAAGAAACAAGACATTCCCCCAGCCGATGAGCAGAAAACTAATCTGTTTTATTACAATTTCTTGGAAATTTGTGATTCCTTTCACATACATTAGAAGCAGAGTTATTAAGAATAGGAAAGTTCGGGTCTACTATACGATGGAGCATGGCAAAATGGATTATTTCTGTGAACAAATACAACAAAAAGATGTGGGCCGCAGGTTGCAAGTTGGCCAGGAATTTCTGGAATATTTGAATAATCCCAGCATTTCTACTGATCTTGAGCAGGATCAGCAGCGCCTTGATACAGTGATCAATGAATTAACAGGATGGGTTAACTCTAGTAATTATAAGGTAATAATTGTGCCTGATGTAGACGTATTTCTGATTCTTGTTAAGTATTGTGTTGCTTTTTCACTAAGTTCTCTATCATTCAAGCAAATTGTTGAAACATTAAATAGATAAATTTTGTCAATGTTCATTTAATATCAATTTTATCCTTTTACTTTGTAAAAATTAAATTTTATTTAATTCACTAACTCAAATGTGTATATTCAGTAGACAAGTATCAATATAACATTAGGTGAGATATTCCTAATATATAAGTGGGTTATTTTCATGAGAATACAGATTCTCAATGTATGACTGTGTTGGACCCTGCCCATCATATTTGTAAGCTATGACAGTCCTAAAATGGGCTAGTTATATGATTTTTCTGATTATACTACCTTTTTTGCAGCAGTTAAGAAAAACAATATGTTATGATTGCAATTTTATAAAAAATGTGGAAGTAAGTTAGTTTACAGCAAAACCATCAAAACACTGACATGTGACCCTGGGAAGCTGCCAATAGCTGTAAATGTAGCCCATTTACCAAGCACCTGAATTTTGATCACATGACTGTGAGGGGCCTCAACTGTCAGGACTTCCATGTCCAGGTAATAAGTAGATCTATAATAATTTCAGATGGTTGCTAAGCAAGTGGTAATAAGTCGAACATTACTTGTATTACATTCATTTTCATTATGGACTGACTATAAAAACTTCATGTTGTCATTTTAGAACTGTAATCCTTGTATATACTGTATTTATTTAAGGCCCTACTTTAACTTAGTGGAGTTTGTAATCCACTAAACCAGAAACAAACTAAATACATTTTACTGTAAAATTTTATATTTTTACACTCTATGTAGTTACTTGGGGATATACTGTTTCCAGAGGAGTTAGATATTTATTTAATAAGGATTTTTCATTTATTAAAGAAATCACATTAATAGCTTTAATATATTCCCATTAAAACAAATAGCAACAAAAATATTTTAAATAATATTTAGAATATTTAGACTGTAGACTATTCCATTTTGTGTTGTAAAAAATTCAAAATGATTCATACTTCAAATCTTCTAAGTAGATTTTTCTTGGTTGCCAGAATAGAAGCATGGAGTTACCAAATTTTTTTTAAAAAACCTGAGAGTATCATAGAAAGTTCCAGGATATTATTGTATTAGTAGTAATAGAATATCTAGTTCAGTAGTATTGAGTGCTGTCTTTGTTTACATTTTTGTCATTTGGTGGCAGTATTGCTCTACAAATCAGGTTTCTGTTGATTCCAAGAATACTCCAGAGATTATGTATACATAATTTAACACCTAGTGAGTAATTGATTCAAATTTTGAACATTATTAAGACATCTTGCAAATAAATGTAATGGTAACCTAGTGGGTATTGTAAATAAATGGAAAAAAACATTTAAAATACTTTATTTGGAATAACTATTTCCCTCTATCTATTACTGTTAATTGACTTTTTGAAAGTCAAATTGTGAAACCTTAATCTAGCAGAAAGCAATGCAGCAAACTTTAATTACAATAATGCAATTCTGGCTATATTTACATAATATTACCATTATGTAAATAACATAAAGAGATGCAAATAACATGATTTGTGTCATTTGTTTAGTTTCATCATTCTTCTTGTGCCATATCCATTATCGGACATTGGCGATCATGTTGGCGATCCTGTTTTTATCAGCAGCCGCACGAAAAAGTGCTGCTGAGTTTTGTCCAAACCAGTCCCTTAGATTTTGAAGCCATGATCTTCTTCTTCTGCCTGGACCTTGTTTGCCTTCAATCTTTCCCTGGAGGATTAAATGGAGTATGCCATATTTGTCTGGGTGTCGCATCACATGTCTGAAATATTCTAATTTTTGTTTTTTAATTGTTTTGATGATTTCCCTTGGCTTTCCCAGGCGGCTTGTCACCTCATTTCTGATCTTGTCAACCCAGCTTATACATAACAGCCGCCTGTAAATCCACATTTCAAATGCTTCTAGTCTCTTCAGGTGGCCTTCTGCCAGAGACCAACTCTCTACTCCATAGAGCAGGATAGAAAAAATATAGCATCTGACAAGCCTGATTTTCAGTCTTAGGCTTATGTCGTGACTGCAGAAGACCTTTTTCATTTTGAAGAATGCTGTTCGAGCTTTTTCTATCCTTGTCTTTACTTCAGTGGTCATATCCCAGCTTTCATGTAGGTGCGTGATCCTTTCAACTTTTTCTATGTTTCATCATTGTGGATCTCAAACTACCCATTTTAATTGGCTGTTGTTGTCCAATTTAACATCAGCAATAACAAGCACTTCTTCCCCCAACTGGTTCACAAAAATGAAGTTTCACTAATATATGCAATAATTTTTTAACCATTTAATAAACTGTTTAAAAAAAGTGAGTGAGAAGATAGTTATGTGACCAAACTTTAATGTACTGATTAGAATAAAGTTACAGATTGTTGGTGAACATTTTGAAAGTACAGTATTTTGAAATTGATAGTGTTTCATTATCAAATAATTTGAGCTTTTTTTAAACACATAAGGTACTTTTGCTTTACCAATATCAGGCACCTTTTAGAATGACCTTGTTTTAAATGCTAAATGTAATAATACATTTTCATTTCTGCCAGGCTTTAAATACACATTTTATCATAAAGTTAGGAAGTGTTTTATACAATTTCTTTATACAATAGATAATGATAATGAATTTATTAAAATGAATTCATTAAAGCAGGGGTCCCCTGCTTTCTGTTGGGAACTAGGCTGTGAAAGCAGTGGGCCAGCACATGAAGCTTTATCTGTGCATGTGTAGGATCTAGATTGCGAAACCACCTCCAGTGCTGCTGCCGTGGGCTATGAAGCTAGAAAGGTTGGGGATCACTGCATTAAAACACTGTGGCTTATCCTGATAGAATACCATTTCAGTTTCAAATTCATTGTGAATACTTAAAACTATGACTTATATTCATAGATAAATATGTATAAGATTATGTAGCTTAACGTGAAATAAATAATCAGGTAACTTTAAAGACAAATTGGCATATGACATAATATAGCAGAAGGAATGGCAGAACTTGGGATCCGCCTAGAATCTATATAGCCACAGCCAAATTAAGTCCGATGCCCACTTTAATACTGTTGATCCTTATCTAACCCTTAGCAGGTGCTAAATGTTAATTGAGTTTGCTTGTGGTTATGTAGAGATACTAGGCTAATCCGTCTTTTAACTCCCCCACCAGAACCACCAGGTTCTGCCACTCTTTCACCTACATATGTGGTTTTATAGGAGCTATTATTCATTTTGACAGTTTTAAATTACTAGCTGTGAGAGCACCGTGCTTCATATGGTTAGGATGCTGGGTAAGCTCCCATTACCCGCTCCAGCTCCTGCTGACCCAGCAATTTGAAAGTGGGCAACTGCGAGTAGATAGATGGGTATCATTTCAGTGGGCAACTTAACAGGTACACAAAAGGAACCTCCAATTGCACATCCCCCAGGCAACGGTGATGTGACTGGCTAATCCTTTTATCATGGAATTGCTTTGGTGCTTCTGACAAGGAACTATAGCAGTGATGACGAACCTTTTAGAGACCGAGTGCCAAACTGCAACCCAAAACCCATTTATGTATCGTCGGGTGCCGGGTGGACGTGGCCAACTGGGTGGGCATGGCCAACTGGGTGGACGTGGCCCATTAGGTGGCCATGGCTGTGGTGGTAACGGCAGACTGGGTGGGACTAAAAAGTTCAATCAATCAATTCCAACTTTGAGAGATTTTTTTTTTCCTGCGAGAAGTTCTGATTTTTTATCACAACAAATCTGGCTTTTACTGTTGGCTGTATATTAAAACTGCATTTATAAAAATTATCACGTTTTTTTTACTACTGAATTTAAGAGACTTTTTACAAATCTTCATATTCCTTGATCTTGGTGACTTGTTTTGTTTCTGATATCAGATTCCCTTTATGTCTTTCTTCCAGATTATTCATGTTTAATTTTTCTATAGAAGGATACTCGTTTTCTAATTCTTTCTTTTGAATTCGTTCCTAAACTTGTACACTTTATATGCACATATACATATATACACATATACATATATGTATGTATATTTACTGCTAGCTTCTTGTATAGTCTATCTATCTATCTATCTATCTATCTATTTCTTTGTGTGTGTGTGTGTGTGTGTGTAATTTTGAAACCACCCATCTCAACAGATATTTTCTAAAATCTGGGATAGTGGGTACTTGGATTATATGCAACCATATAGTAAAATAAAGGGATATATAAAGCAAAATATAAAACCAAGAGATGTAGAATTTTTATATGATATGTTACTTTTTGATGAAAATTGTACAAAATTGGGGCTAAGCATTCTTAATATTTTACAGTCATTATGAACTATAAGTTCCTAAAAACCAATGTTTCTGTTAAGGAGCTTTAATTATATGTTTAACTTTCCCTTTAAAGTCTGTCAGACCTGGAATCTAATAGCACTTATAGTTTTAATCCAGATGTATAAATGGGCATGTACTAGAATCATTCCCCTGAAAATCCACAATAGTTCTCTGTCTTTATAAATCCTTGGACACTGGGAAAATCAAAGCAACATAATTAATAGAAAATAGAAAAGAAAATTTGCAATATTTTGCTAATTTGCTAATTTTTTGCTCATTCATTGGGACCCTTGGAATCCTAGAGCTTGTATATTTAGAAGCATCAATTTACAACATAATGGAACCTGGAATTTCAATTAGAAATCATTGCAGTTATAGGTCGAGGCACCATGTGATTGGATTCAATTTTACAATCATTTTTATGATGGTTGTAAAGTGAGTCACTGCAGTCATTAAGCAAATCACACGTCTGTTATACGAATCCAGAATACCCAGTTTCTGTGCGGGGTTGTAGCAGCCATAACTTCAAGGACAAGTTGTAACTTGCTTTTTTTAAGTCTAACATAACTTTGAATGGTCTTTGATGGCCGGTCATAAATTTAGGACTAGCTGTACGTATCTGAGTATTATTCCCAGGAAAAATATTGTATTATATATGCCAAACTGATTACAATAATAAATATTAATAACAATAAAATGTTAAAAAGTAAAATTTATACTTAATAATACTGATTGCCCTATTAAATACTAACATTTGAATTTTATTTACCAGTTTAGAGTTCTAGGCTGTCACTTTTCAAAAAAATACACATATATTTTGTGACCTTATTAACATTTAAGATTCTATATGCTAGATTAAGGACAATAATCTAATGAAGGGATAAGTGTACAATATTTGCCAGGTCTAAATTAAGCATAATCTTCTAATGTAAAATACAAAATACATAATTGGTACAAACATTTTTTAAAACCTGAACAATGTCAAAACTTATTGCAATTGGAAATAATTTTTTTAAAAAAGTGATTAATGAAGCTGTACTGAGTTGAGTTTGATCCAGATCAATTCCAGCATGCAATTATAATTTAATTAATTTCTCTGTATCAAAGTAGATTCAAGGCATTGCCTTCTTTTCAATGTAAATTGATAACATTTGTTTTTTAAGTATATAGTACGGATAGTCCTCAAATTACAACTATTTGTTTAGTGACTGCACAAAGTTATAATGGCACGTAAAAAAGTGATTTATGACTATTTTTCATACTTATGATCGTTGCAGCATTCCTATAGTCACATGATTAAAGTTCAGACTGTTGGCAACTGACTCATATTTATGATGGTTGCAGTGTCCTGGGGTCATGTGATCCCCTTATGTGATCTTCTGACAAGCAAAGCCAATGAAGAAGACAGATTCACTTAACTGTGTTACTAACTTAACTGCAGTGATTCACTTAACAAATGTGGCAAGAAAGCTCATAAAATGGGGCAAAACTCACTTACCAACTGTCTCGCCTAACAACAGAAATGTTAGGCTCAATTGTGATTGTAAGGCAAGGACTACCTGTACAAGACTAGCTGCATAAAATTTAATACAACAGATTCTCATTCTCAAATCTATATAGTTGCTTTAAATGGTTGGGTAATTACCACAGTATCATTTTAATTCTTTATGTTTCCATAGGTTTCATTACTTGGATTAGAACTCCTAAGTGCCTTTAGTGAAAGACTATTAGGACGTTTCAAAACCTATGTAGGAACTGGTAAGTATTTTTTACATTTTCTCTATAAAAATATGTTTATCTTTTCATCAATAGTTTATTTTTTAATTAGGGCTGTACATCACAAATTTATAATAATGGAGAAAGTGTGGTGATAGATTTGTATGTAGAACACTACTATTGCTGACTTATGCCCACTTGTTGAACAACCAGAATTACAGTGGTCTTGTTAAGGGCACTTACAGGCACTTCTGACCATAATATAACATTGCACTGTGTCTGCCCCCTATAATCATGTGATTATGATCTGCTTGGTAACCTGTATTTATTGCTGGTTGACAACTGCCCTGCAATCATTTGATCGTCATTTGCAATCTTCTGAGCTGGTTTCTCAATGGAGAAGTTGGCAGGTAAGTTTGCAAGCTCTTACTGCCTGCAGAGAGGGCACACTCTTGTCTCTGGAGTCTGGTGAAAAAGCTGCCTTCAGGGGGAACGAAGAACCTTCAGCAGGGTAGAGATATGGAGCTTAGAGCCTTAGATCCAGTCTTTTGGTTCAGCCCAGTACAGCACAATCAACACAAACTGTGAAAAGGATAACACTACCATACATCAAAAACATCTCAGAAACCACCCACAGACTATTACAACCCCATGTCATCAGTGTAGCACAGAAATCAACTAAAGCCCTCCCAAACATCCTAAGTAAACCAATAAACCCAGCAGCCTCAGAAGAAAAAACAGGAGTCATCAAAAACATATAGTGTAAGGATTACAACAGCCACTATGTAGGACAAACAGGCAGAACACTAAACAGTGCATCCATGAACACCAGCTAGCAGCCAGAAGACATGATGAAAGCTCCTTAATTTAACAACACATGGCCAGACTTAACCATAGTTTCTACTGGGAAGCTGGGACTATCCTAAACCAAGCCAAGTCCAAAAGCACTAGAGAATTCCTAAAAGGCACCCTGACAAGTCGGCCAGGAACATAGACACAAACAATATCTATACACTATTGAGAAGAGACAATCAACAAACCAAAACGGCAGGGGAGACCAAAACACCTCCTGACCAGCGATCCACATCCAGACAAGCAGAGATTAACATCAGTATTAATATTAGACCAACAATCAAGCAGCAAACAATATCCCAATCAAGGAATTGCCAAAGAAACAGTAAACAGCCCCCCCCAAAGAACCATCAAGACCACTCCAACTAGGGTAAGTCACTAGATTATAAAATGAGAGGAAATCTGACTCCCTACTAGGACTCATGATGTACTTTGGGTAATGTAACATCTGCAAGAAAACAACCAAGGTATTTTTGCAATGGTCTCACTAAGCTTATTGGGCGATGTTACATTTGTGATTTGTAATAGTAAGCCCTGAGACTTCCCATTTTATTTTCATATTGAGCTCTTCTGAATCATCTTCTGGTTTGTAAAGTGATTATTTTTGCTTTAAGGGTTGAAAAACAAGTATATAGTCAAATACAGATAGTCCTTGACTGTATATCTGTATAACAATTGAGACTGGACTCTTCAGTCACTGAGTGAAGCAGTCATTTAATTAGATGTCATATAAGCACTTTTCTCCAAACCACAATCCCGGCATGCCTGGTTGCAGTTGTAAGTAAGTTCCTGTGTCATAAAGTGGACAGAGTGAAAATTTGCCTTTCAGAGATACTCAGCACCACTGGGGGGGGGGGGGAATCCCTCTGGAAGGCAGGCCTTTAGCTCTCAAGGAGATGCCTGCTGAAGACACTTGGTCACATATGGACCAAATTTCTGGCAGGCAGCCCTTTTGCTGTAGATCAGAGGTCTCCAACTCCCAGGCTGTGGCCCACTAGTAGGCTGTGAGCCATTTGCAGCTGGGCCTGGAAGTGATAGGTGAGCGCGGGCATGAGCACATCCCGACTTGTTGGAGCAGCAGGCAAGCATGTATATGCACTCTCCATTTGCCTGAGCCTGCCACTTGCATAAATGGAGTTGTATGCACGCATGACTACCACTCACGTGAAACCATCCCCTTCTCCCCTCCGCTGGTCCACAGAACCAGAAAGGTTGGGGGACTCTGCTCTGAATGATACCTCTTTATGGGGGAAAAGGAAGTATAGATCAGCAGCAACCAGAAATCCTAGACAATATCTGTTTATGGGTTTTACAAAGTAGACTTATGAAAGATTTTAAGATTTTTTTTAAATACCAAACAGTGATGGAAGATCAAATTTTGTGATGCCATAGGAATTATTTAAAAGTCAAGATTGTTCAGAACAAAAAGACATAATATAAACTTGGACTATTTGATCAGGATAAACTATTAGTATAAATTATTTGTTTCATATTTCTGGTAACTTCTAATAGAATTTTTGCTGAACTAGGATTGAAAATATAATGATTTATGAATTACATATAGATAAAAGTTAGGTAATGGACGATGTTTTTCTATTGGTTACTTTAAAAGATGATAAAAAGTTGATATATTAGCTTCTTCTCTGTATGATGGTTAGAAGTCACTTCTTTAATACTGTTTTTGTTGCTTTTTTCTTTTCTACTTTTTTCTTTTTATGCATATTTTGAGTTTCTTTTTTTTCTAGCTTAGTTTGTATTTTTATTATAATTTTTAAAAACTTCAATAGAATTATTAAGCAAAAATTGTAGCAACTAGAAATATAACTTCATATGCCATTTCTGTAATGTGATATATGCCATCACTTGCCAATAATGCTTCTTAGGATTTTACATGGAACAGATAGGATAACTTTTGTGCAAAATAATTAATGGACAAACATTTGTCAACAATTTTTCCATTAACCACTGGAAACAAGGGCAAGAAATATAAGAGCACTTCAGCCTCGCTGGCACTCTATTGCAAGTAAAGATTTTGGAAAAAAGAAATTTTACCAGTACAGTTGGACAAGTAATTACTGAACACGTGTACATCAGAAAGTTTCAAACTATCTCAGAAAGTCTCAGTGAACACAATGGGTTAACATATTAAAATCACATTGTGTATCTTTTTTAACCAATCTGTCTATATCAGTTTAGTCTACAGTTTAGGTGTACATCTGATGAAATAAGGTTTTGCTCAGAAAAGCATATGCCTTTTAATGTGTCAGTCTGAAAAAGGTGCTAAAGATTTCTGATCTTAAGACCTATTAAAGTTGTATTTAACTGTAACTGTTCAACTGTTTATAGTATCACTTGTCTGAAATTTCAGTACTATTTCTCTTGAGATCTGAATCTCTATAATTCTACAATTGCATTTTTGGTAGTTAAATTGATAAAAAAAAAATCAAATGGATGGATGTCAACAATTTTGAAGATCAGGGAGCAAGCAAAAGAGAACATATATCCTTTATGTTACATGGAACAGCTTAGACAGTGGTTTCCAGCCTTTTCTATACCCTGCACCCCTAGAATGCTTCTTATATATTCTCACACTCCTTACCAAAGTTCGAAATAATGATAACAAATTATGCATATACACTATAATTTTGAAAACCCAAGTTTTCGTGCTCCCTCAAATATCGTCTCACACCCCCAGGGGGTGCGAGCACCCTTGGTTGGGAACCCCTGACTTAGGCTAACATGGACTCACCATGTGAAATACAAAGAATTTAAAATTGGTTTTTAATGCCTTCAGTTGCCCTGAATGTTCCTACCGAGGAACTATGGGAAGGAGAAGTGCTCAAGGCTCAGAGTTCCAGCCCGCAGGCTATCCATTCAGATAAACTAGAAATATATTGTGCGATATATTTCTTTCCTAATTATTTTGCTAGATAAATATGTTTGCATTGCAATGCAGATGAGGGGGAGAAAAGTTATGGTTTTGCTTCCTTATATTGTGCAATTTATACCCTAGATAGTAGGGTTTTCATGGACGTTTATAATTTTTACTCATTTTTTTCTAAATTGTGTAACTAAAACTATCACTTCATACTTTATAGTTTCTATATTAAGTTTTCCACATTAATTTTAGTTATTTTTCTTAGTTATCTGAGCTTGCTGTTTTATATAATGTATAAAGTAATATAGATTATTGCATTACAAATATGTAACATATATGTAAACAAATTGTACTTTTGGATAGTCAGTAATTTTAAGTTACAGATTTTTCAGAACCAGCTGTACAAGTATGAATAAAAAAACAAAATTTTGAGCTCAATTGTAGTCGTAAGTCGAGAACTACCTGTACACATCTTAGTAATCTTAGAAATCTTGGCTAGCTAAAATATGGTTGAAACAAACATAAACTGTTTTGACATAGAGCTTCAAAATACTTTTAAGATTGTTTATCACATAATGCATTTAGTCTTATTTTTATCCTCTAGTTCTCATAGTATTGATGGATCGAATGGGAGATGCCAAAGACCAGGTTCGAGAAGAGGCACTGAATCTTATTTTGAAGTTAATGGACCACGTAGCTCCACCAATGGTAGGAATTCTATAGAGAGGATTTTTCTATTAAATGTGAATTGTTCTGTTCTATTGAATTAAGCAGCACAATCTCAATCAGCAATTTAAGAAGCAAGGGTGGGGGTGAGAATTATATGGGGGGGGGTGTTTCCTGGTTGAAGGTATGTGAGGGTCATTTATTTTGCCTCACTTTTCAGTTGAAACAATGGGAAAGAAATAGAATTTTCCCAAGGGAGCTTAATGGGAAGAGATCAAATCAATCTCAGATCCTGCCAAAAGACGAATGATAAGGGAGCAATAGTGACTTGGGTATATACTCTATTATGTTTGTCTTCTTAGCAGAAGACCATGCCAATTGCTTGCTTGCTTGCGTATACATATATATGTGTATATATGCATACACACACATACACAAACACACATATGTAAAGAAGACAGTGATTTTAAGAATTGTGCTGACTTTCTGATTCATGTGTTCAGAAAATAGCAAAAGTTGGTCTTGTTAAACTGACTACTATCTACTCCTATCCATGGAAATCAGTGAATGCTAGAATACAGATTAATTAGAGGATTCTAAATAATTCTATAAAGGAAAAGAGAGCAGGGGAAAAGTGATGTTTTCATCTATATTTTGCTGATGATAAAACCAGAAAAAAACAGGTTCCTGGCAGTTAGTACTATAATAAATTAGTATTATGAACAACTCTTTGGATTTCAAGATGAAAATTTACTTCCCAATATAAAGGATTCAAAAGCAATAATGGTTGTATCTTACAAAAGCTGAGAAAAATTGTTTACTAAATATTAAGAACATGACTGCATATGATAATAGGGAAACTATGAGGAAATGTTATTAGATAATCTTTCTATGGTTGTAGGGAGATCAGTAAAGAATAGCATTCATAATTTCTAATTTTTCTACCAGTGCACAGAATGTTGATAGCTAAATATTCTAATAAATCAAATTAAATATGGCCAGCATCATGGAAATTTGGTGGAAAGAAAATCCTAATTGAAATGTAGAACTCAAATGATTTTATTTTATTTTTTACAAGAAATAAGCTTTAAAAGGGGCAGAAAAGTGCTTTTTAATTTAAAAAAAAAAAGTCACATGCCAATGGGTGGGTGGGGAAATCATGAATATGTAAGTTTTATTGAAAGCATCTGGTAGGGATGAAAAGAAGTACAAAACGAGTGATATCATTTGATATGTTAACTACAGGTCACTTACCCAGAGAGAAAATATGGCTATGCCTTTCTAAATCAATTCATCAAGTTCTCAAGAAGAGAGGCTGTTATGATAACAAACTACCATGATATCAGTTGAGGAATTTAACTGGCTAAGAATGAAAGATTCAGCACATTTCTGATCTTTCTTAATAGCAAATTAGTTTTCAGAAAATGGAAGAAAAAAACAAGGATTAAATTCAACTAAATTCCAAATTTAATGAGGACAAATAGAATTGATCAATGACTGAAAGTGTTAGGTACCTAAGGAGAAGACAATCACATTATATAAGAATCTCAAAATAATTAGGGGAGGAATTGCTGAAAGTCAGTTGCATTTCAGGAAGGCAGACTTTAAAACATAGTCAAAATCTGGAGAATATACTAACTATGGTATGAAATTCTAAAGAAATGGAAGGGGCGAACTTGAGAAATGAGGTAGTAAAAGCCTAGCCATAAACAATCTTCATGAAACTAGTCTCCAATTCCTAATTCTTAAGTTTATAGGTAGTCTTCAACTTATAATAATTTATTTAGTGACTGTTCAAAGTTACAATGGCACTAAAAAAGTATGACTAATTTTCACACAACTTACAACTATTGCAGTATCCCCATGATCAAAATTCAAACACTTGGCAACTGGCTCATATTTATGATGGTTGCAGTGTCCTGGGGTCATGTGATCACCTTTTGTAACCTTCTGACAAGCAAAGTTAATGGGAAAATCAGATTTGCTTAACAATTGTGTTACTAACTTACCAACTGCAGTGATTAACTTAACAACTGTGACAAGAAAGGTCATAAATGGGTCAAAATTCACTTAACAAATGTCTCACTTAGTAACAAATTTTGTGCTCAATTGTGGTTGTAAGTCTAGGACTACCTGTAGTTTGCTACAAGGAAAGAGAAGGATAATGGAAAATAAACCCTAAAGAGGGTTTATTTTAACATAGGGAATATTTTAAGAGGATCATTTATGCCCTAGTTATCTCATAGTTAGAGATATTGCAATGCACTCTACATAGGGCTATCCTTGAAGAGTATTTGGAAGCTACAGCAGCGCAAGGAATTCTTGGCCCCTGTGACACTACTGTTCTATGAGCTGCATTGGCTGCCAGTCTGTTTCAAGATGTTGGTAATCATCTTTAAAGCCATTCATGGCATAGGTCCAGGCTACTTAAGGGACCATCTCATCCTACTGGGATTGGCCCATCCCACCCATGCTGGCCGAGGATGCTTGCTGAAGGCCTCATTGGCCTGATTATTCTGACTAGAAGGGTCAAGAAAAAAACCATTGCCGTTGTGCCTGCCCTCTAGAACATCTTGCTCTCTCCCATGTGAGATCATACCCAACCCTTCTCACCTTTTGTAAGAATGCCAGATAGCTTGGAGCCCAATGAGGGAGCATCACAATGGAGTTGTTGATCAATTAATAACAGATCCCACTTTTCTCACCCATGCCCTGCCCTCCTCATCTACCATCTATAATTGGATCATAGCGTTTGTTGGTATTAATTTATATTTTCAGCATGCAGACACCAAGTGTGTGTATGTATGTACACACACCACACACACACACACACACGGTCTACCAAATATAAATCAGTCTGTTCTGCGTTTTGCTCCAATCTAGGAGCATGTTTTGCAGGCAGACCTCACATACTGTGAACACCAGAAATTCAAAATTTTGTGGCTTACAAAGACTTAGTGGGAGACTAGTATAGCTATTTTAGGCTCATTTGCCCTCATCAGCTAGTCAGATATATATCCTCCCTGGTTTCTGCTGACAGGAGTAAGGGGGAACCTGTGGCTCAAAAGGGTAATACAGCTGCCTAACATGCAAGCTGCCCAGGTTCGAATCCCTGAAGAGTGTGACTAGCTGATGAGGGCAAAATGAGCCTGAAATAGCTATACTAGTCTCCCACTAACTCTTTGTCAGCTACAAAATTTTGTGTGCATATATATATATATATATATATATATATATATATATATATATATATATATATATACA